TTAGTTCCTGTATGAAAGATTGTGGGGGGAAAATAAACGTCGTGCCGTTAGCTTTTTCCGTAATAACACCCTTCCTTCTGTAAATACCCGTTACCATATTTATCCATTTGTAATTAAATTATGGTATTAACTTGCTACAGAGGAAACAATATTTATAAAGAATGTTTCTTAACTATAAATATGTACAATTGTGGGCATAAACTGTTTCAGATTTTTTATTTGAAGGTTTTAAGTGGTTTGATCATTTCTTGTGATGTTTTGAGAGTAATGCATACAGAAATATAATAAAATGTGTTGAAACTGCATGAACATACTATTTTTTCTAGCAAAGTTATTAAAGAAAATGGGGAAAGAGGCAGCTGAGGATTGACTTGGGTAGCAGCAGCGAGGCTGAGTGGGCGGGTGGCACATGCATTCTGGGGAGGAAGGTGTGTTTCTGCATAGAAAACAAGCCAAAGTGCCCCTTTGGCAGAAGGTCTCAAAATTATTTTCTTGGTCCTTTGTTTAATAGCTGAGAGTGAATTAAATTTTTGGAAAGCCCCTGTGAGGAATGGCGGCAGGAACCTTCAGAGCTTCTAATGGCTCCATTATCTGAGGGAATGCCTTTCTTTCTTTCAGCTATTTGGGCTGGATTTAAGAGCACTAAACATTTCCTTATTCTTTGTTTGCCCCCTTTCCTGCCCCCTTTCCTCTCCCTCCCTCTGAAAAGCTGAGGTACAGTTATTTTTAATTACACATTTAAAACTGAGCAGAGTACTTTCTTTTTGAACTTGGCCTAATGATTATAGTTTAAGAGCCCGTGTGTACCAAAAGTTGCTTGAAATTTTAAGCAGAGAAATCCTGCTGAAGCAAAGCAGCTGTGTGCCAACAAGCAGGATGGTCCAGGCAAGGTGATAAATAGGCTACATTTTGATCTTCTTGGGGGAGGAGAATAGATAGGAAAGGAACAAACCGTTAGCCCCCCCAAAAAGAGAACCTCTTGAATAATTCAGTAAAAATAAAATAGAATAAGGTATCAACATAAAATTGCTAGGTGGAAGTGAGGGAGCCAGAGCCCCAGCCACCAGCTTTTCTCCTAGGTTTACAGCCTTGCTACCTCCCCCGCAGGAGCTGGTCAGAGTTTTCAAACAAGATACTCAAAGGAAGAAGGCAAAAATGATTTTAATAACCAAAGAGTAGGGATGGGGAAGGTTATTTTTAAATTTCTAAGCCATCAAAATACCTCCATCTCCCAGTAGCTCCAAGAGGCCCTGGGCAGTGGTGGAGCTCCCCCCTCCGAGCTCCCCCCTCCAACCCCTCCCACCAGCGGGGAAAAGACTTGGGTGGCGGCAGCGACACCTCTAGAGGGAGAGCGCCGATGGCTGCGACAGCTGCGAAGGCTGCGGCTGCCCCGCTCTCCTTTCCCTCCCGCCTGGAATGAGCCTCCGGGCCAGGCTGGCCAGGCCTGAGGGGCGCTTGGTGAGAGCGGGGCAGCCCTGACCTCCTAGAGGTCACACTACCTGTTCAATGAGGAGGAAAGGCGTCCAGCCTGGGGGTGGGGTGGGGGTGCCATCAGAGGGTGACAGATGCCGGGCTCGCCTTCCCCAGTGGCCCTTCGAACTGCCCAAACGCCAACTTCTGAAGCAATCAGACCCCTATTAAAATCAAATTTATAACCCCTAATATATTAGGTGAAATTATTAAAATAATTGGCATATGTTACTGATCCTTGGGAGAGTTCATTGAGCACATTATAAGCTGTGATGAAAATCGTTTAGGGGGTTTTCCAAAGCCCCTCTATCCCATCGGGGGACGAAGGAGTCAAATGAAATATTTGTCATAACTTGTGCAAGAATAAAAAGGCCTATTGGAAATGTTTCAACTTTAATTTTTTTTTTTTTTTTTTTTTTGGTGGGAATTGGTTTTGAGAGAAGTCCCAAATCTAAGGAGAAGGACAAGATGGGAGTGAGGAGGGCAACTTTACCATGGGGTTTGGGGCCTTTCTTCTCATCTGGGGAAGAAGGAAAACGGCAAGAAAGAGAGGTGGCCGAGCTCACAGCATTGAGTTGGTTTGATTGCTTCCCTCAACTCAAAGTCGGAGAGCTGCCCGAGGCCCCTTCGGGTCCGGGGGCGCTGATCCTAGTTTTCAGCAGGAAAATAAAATATGAAGCAGGCAGATCCCAGCCTGGGAGTGGTCTCCAAGTCCACCCTAGGACTTGCGGAGCGGGCGGGAGCCGCCTTTCCTCGAAAGGGCTCCCAGTTCCCGGTCCCTCGCTTCACAAGGCTTTGTCCAAACAAGTCACGGATCCAACAAGGTGGTCCAGTCTCTCTCCCTTTCGCCTTTCTCTTCTGCCCTTCTAGTCCCAAGGACTGGATGGAGGGGAGGGGGGATGGCAGTAGTGTAGAAGTGTCAAGATGTGAAAATTGCTCAACTGAGAACGCGCGCAGGGCTCGCGGCCCAACAGCCTGCATAGCACTCAGGCGCCTGGGCCTGGGCCTGGGGGTGGGGTTGGGGGGGACAGCCGTCCCCCCCTGCCCCACCCCGGATCTGAACGCTAACCTGCTCCTGCCTCGACTCCAGAGACACAAAACTGAAGCCAGCCCTCGCCGCTCTCTGGGACCCTGTGCTGCGCTGCGCTGCGCTGCGCTGCGGGTCGCTGCCCGCAGGGAGGCCCAACTTGCAGCCGCCGGCCGCAGCACGATTTCTGCTGGCCGCCGCCTTCAACTTGAACTTCAGTGCGCTCAGAGCGGCTTCCTTTGCCCTCCGCTCCATCCACCGCCTAAGAACTCTCTTCAGCGCGAGGGTCGCTTTATCCGGAGGCAGCTGGAGGCCCCTCGGGAGGCCCGTCATTATTATTATTAATTATCGTGATCCTCACTGCATTATTAATGCCCACGATGATAACTAGCATCGGTATCAGCTTTCCCTGGTTCAGTGACATCCCACGAAATTCGGGGCGGGGAGAAGGTTACTCCAGGATCAAAGGCCGCGTCGATTTTCCTCGGGGCGTGGGCAAGGGGAGGCTGCTGGGGCCAAGGCTGGGCTGCACGCGAGGGAAGAATCTCGTTCTAGGCCCCGCACGCCCATCCCAAGCTGCCCGGCGCTTTTCCCTAGGCCGGCACCTTCGCCCTTCCTCTTCCCCACCCCCTAGCCCCTTTGTCTCTTTTTCAGACGGATGTTTTCAGTCTCAAGTGGTTTTATTTTCCGCACAAAACCCTGAGATCAAGGGCAGATCACAGACTGTACCGGAGGCTCGGGTTTCCCTGGACTCCGTGCTATTCTGCATCCCAGGGTTGGCTGGGAAGGAAGGCCTGGGCCGGAGAGGTGACCGGTCTTCAAGTCCGCAGGCGGGGTGGTGGGGTGGTGGGGGTGGTGGGGGGGTGGGGCTGGGGGGAATGTGTGTCCTGGTAGGTCCCTGGTGAGCTCACCCGTGGCATCAGAGACCCATGGAAACCCACCAGGCACCCACCAGGGACACTCGGGTCCTACCCTCTCCCACACTACTCCACCGAACTGATCAGAAGGGCGCACTAGGCCTGCTTCCAAGGGCTGAGCGGTCAAGGCCTCAAAATCACACTCCGTCAAGACTTGGTTGGACCTTTGGGTAGGTTTTTTTCACTTTAGCAGGCACGTGTCCCGGAAAGCGGTCCTTGAAACCCAAAGCAAGGGTTCAGCAATGATTTGTGGATTGATGACTATAGTCTGATATCACTCTGGTTCCACAAAAACTTGGAGCTCCTTGGCCCACTGTTATCCCCCGCAGACTGAAATAAACGGTTCTATTTTTAACTGGCAACTGAGAACAGGGCCGGAAGAAGTTCCCCTCCACTTCCCCCTTCCGGACCTCAGATCATTGCTGGGTTTTTATTTTGGGGGAAAAAAACGGTCTTTCCAGACTGGATACAGTGGTTGGGCAAAAACCCACAGGCTAGTCCGGTTGGGTGCCTGAGCACGAAAAGGCCTCCATGGCCATTTGAATCGGGTGTTGCAAATGAGAACTCTGTAAGCCATAACCAATGCAGCCAGAGGGTCTGAGTTCACGGTCAAGGCTGTGGTCGACTAGGTCCAGCGAGTCCAGGCCTCGCCCCGCCCCCGAGCTGCCACAGCCCAGATCCCCGGCGGGGAACTCGAGACCAGGGTCCTCCCACTCCTGCCCCGCCCCGACAGTCAGAGAACTCTTGGTGCTGAGGACACCTCGTCCCTCTCCCAAGTTTCTCTTTTGTTCCCAGGGACCAACGAGCTTTTGAAGAGGTGACACCTTGCTTCGCCTTCTCCTGCTCTAGGCCCTGCCCTCGTCCGGCATCCCTCCTGCCCCACGAATCGAGACGAGGCTCAGCGCAGCTGCCTGTCAGAGTGGCGGGGGGGGGGGATCCCCTGTTTGCGCGCGCGCACACACACACACACCGACACACTTACACCATATGCTCACACATCCTCACCTCCTTCAGCTTCCGCACCTCCTAGCCACGGGCTCGCGTGAGTGGGAAGGACCTGAGGCTGCAGAAATGGGGGTGAATGTGGGCAGCAGGAGATGCTCCCCGCACCTCTCCGCCCATTCCTACCTCCCCCAGCCCTTTCTAGCGTCTCTCGGAGGTGGCCTGACCTGCCCTGCGCTCTCAACCCAGTTCGGCCTTGGAAGGTCCTCCGCCGGAGCGGCACTCCCCAGGCCCGCACTGGAGCCCCTGGCGTGGGACTGGGCTGAGCCGGGCTCCCAGCAGTCGAGTCTCCCAGGCCCACTCCCACGGGCTGCGAGAGGCCAGGCGGCCCCACCTGCCCGCGTGCCCTGCAGGCCTCCTGGTGTAGGGAGGGGCGTGCCCCCTCACCTCCCAGGAAATCTGGAGTGAGGGAAGAGCTGCCTGGCCCCCGCATCCCCAAAACCTGGCCTCAACCTCTGCCTTTCCCAACCTCCCGGAGCCAGGTTTCTGTCTGTCCTAGAGGCCAAGCCGGTGGCCCTGGGGAGCAGAAAGGAGCTCAAAGCTGCTAGAGAAGGTGGGGGGTAGAAATAATAATAATGTTAATAATGTCAGAGATAACCATCGCATTTAAAGCTCAGCGACTGGGCTGCTCGGCAGAGGCCGGCGGAGACCTGCGGAGGCTGCTGACTGGCAGAGCTGGAGGTGGGCGTGGGGTCCCCTGTTCACGGGGACTCTTATGTTTCCCCCCCCCACCCCGGCAAAGCCCCCTAAACTTTGGATCTGGAACTAGGCCGAGCCCGCAAGGGCCTGCCAGGAGCCGCGCCGGAGCCTCCCGCTGCAGCCAGGCTGCTTCTTCTTTTCTTTCTCTTGGCCCACTGGGCCCACAGTGGTCAGAGTGGCCGAGTGTGGTTTTCCGAAACTCTTTGGCGTCGGCTGGGTCTGCGTGCTCCTGGCCCGGTCTCCACCCCCGGGCCTGTCTCCCAGCCTCTGCCCGCCCGCCGGCGAATGGTGGATTTAATGAGCGCCTGTGCGGCGTTGGCCGGCGGTTCTGAAGATGCGCTGACCTGGAGGGAGGGCGCGAAAGGTCAGGCGCACGCCGGGCCCAACTTGGGCCCCTCCCAGGCCCATGCTGCTCGGATATTGATCCTGGGAGAAAGATAAACAGAAAAGCTGGACATTCAGTCATGAATACTAATGAGCCAGGATAGGGGTTTTAATTGCCGTGGACTTCCTTTTTCCAGTTAATCCTTATTGCAAACTTCGCTGGAGTCAGCTTTCTCCAGCCTTCCTCCTCTTTATATTTTCCTGCGAAATGCCCAGGCGCAAGAGACCCGTGTCAACTTGACTTTGTCCTCTTCGAGATGCCTGTGTGAGCTCGAGAGCCCACAGCCCGTGTTTCCAGTGTGGCTCTGTTTACTAATTATGGAAATATAGGGATCCTATAAAATAAATTGTTTCAGTGTGGCTTTGGCGAGTCTGCTTCTTGACTTCTTCACCCTTATTGTTTCAAAGACTTCTTGTGTCCTTGGCCTTTAAACTTCCTCTTGACAATTGCATCTTTTCTCCCGCCACCGAGCCTTTCTATTCCAAACGGTGCACTCTGTCCCCAAACGTTCCCGTTTCTCAGTCTCCAGGACTTGGCACTGGCTTTGCCAACCGCAGTGTCTAAGTATTTCGACCTAGCGGTGAATTCTTAGGCAAGCTAATTTACCACGTAACATAAATTTTGTGGTTTCTCTGGTACCTATAAGCAACACTGTAATATGAGACAGCAATCTAAAAGAATTGTCAGAAAGATTTCTGCCTCCATTCTTGATGTGCATTTGATAACTTACCTATAATCATTTTTATTAAAATAAAGCCATTCCTGAATCGACTTTTTTCTTGAAACTGCATAAGTCGACTGTAAATCCTATAAAGTAGTTTCAACTGTGTGATCAGGAGAGAAAAAAATATATAAACCTATTTTTGTGACAATGTAGAAATGTGTTGAAACCCAAGCCAGAAAAAAAAAATCAGCTGTGCTAGAGTAATTTCCAATATTATTCTGATCCTTAAAGTTTTGGACAAAATAAGCCTGTATTTCACTTCATTGCCAATAGGTCCCAGTACTGGAGTCTCCTGAGGATTCTGTTTCACTTACACTTTTCAGTCCAAACTTTTTTTTCTTTGCACAGTGATTTATTATGTAGGTAATTTTAGGGGATACAGTTTACAGCTTGAATTATTAGACTGAACACCTCTGGCTGACACCACGACGCCTTTTTTTTCTGCCTGCAGCTGTGAGTCACAACCCCATTTTCATACCCAACCGCTGCACATTCCTTCACAATGTATACTTCCTTCTTGCAAAGATCAAACATGCTTTGGTCAAAGTGTTTATTTTAAAATACAGGAAAATTAAAACTAAACACAGCTCTACTGAAAAATCCCCAAATGTATCATATTTTCCTCCTCCTGTGCCCACAAAAAAAGAGTAACAAATTGCACCACTTTCTGGAATAAAAATTTGAATTGAAGGAGAACACACAGGCACATACATAGTGTTCATTTTAGCATTGAACTACACCAGAAAACCTCCCACTTTCATTTATATTTGGATTCCTGTTTTTGATGTCTTGTTTTTACTATAAAAATATCACAAACCAAACAACAAGAACAACAATGTATTATTAAAAAGATGCTGACAGATACCTATTTTATTCACCAACCTACACACTCTTCATTCCTACTTCATTTTTCCCCCCTTAGTGTTTTTCTTGTAATTATATCTTTTGGATTGTAACTTTCAGGGGAGAAGCATATTTTGAAATATTTTCTAAATAGAAAGCAAAAGGTCTCAGTAACTCATAAATAAGTTAACATTTCCTAAGCATCTCTGTAGGTCTTTGGCATGTGTGTGTGTTTTCTTTCTCCTTTCAAATTAAGGTGAAAATTTATAAGGAAGAATCACTCCTTCTTAGCGCCTAAATCTTGTAAAGTGGACTTGAACTGCAGATTTTGGTGGATAAGCTGCCCTTCCGCAGCACACTGTCTAACTGCCTATTTCAGCTTCTCCGTGCTCCCACTTGAAAGAGACATAGACCTCAGCCACCTCCTCTCTGAGGCAATTTACTCAGCTTCTCCAATCACACAGTTCTTTAACGGGGCAGAAATTGTTGGGCTGTTTTTAATCAAGTTTGGAAGCTGAATCTCTTCCCTCTGATGACTGTGCCCAGGGGTGGATCCGGCTGAATGTCTGGCGCTGCGGGCAGCAGGCTCGGCCACCCGTTTTTCAGACATAACACCAGAGAATGCCACTGAAATAATCGCGTGTGGCAGAAATGTTTAAAAACATTAACCTCTCTTATTTCCCATACTTCTGAGTTAAAAGGCTAAAGAAGCTGAAAGGAAATCTGAAATGATACTCATTTACCTACTGCAGACCAACAAACTGTAAAGATGCTTGATGCTTTGAAAATGTACTCTGCAAAATCTTTCCAATTAGATGCTGCCTAAGATCGATGGTAGTAAAAACATTTTTATAAATTGATTGGTTAAGACTTTTCTAGATATTAGAGATGATAAATTAACAGATCAGAAGTTTCTAGGAAAAAATTGGGAGGGATAGAGAAAGTAATCTAATAATCTAATACTCTTCTTCCTATTGTTTAGAGCAAGACAAATTATGGTACAGACTATATGGACTTTTTTTAAGAGGCATAAATAAAAATATTTAGCTTCAATATACTATTGAAAATTATTTGCAAAAGTAGAGAATCAAGGATTTTCAAGACCAAAAACAAAACAAAGAATCAGATTACAGTCTTCTTCTAAAACACACTTCTTCCTTTGCTGGGTTTTCAAATGATATCTTTGGTGATCCTTTGTTTATTTGAAGAATCTCTTCAAATTAAAATGCATGGAATATTTCTCTCTAGATAGTTCAACTTCAGACACACAAACATTTCTAAAAGTTCTAAATGGAAATCAAAGACTTTGTAAAGCTTCAATAACAACATTTCATATCATGGTAAAACCAATTTTATTGTGACATTCCTCTCATATTTGGTAGATTATCAGATACATCAAAAATCTTACCTTGAAAACGTAGATTTTCCCAAAAATCTTATAAATTTGAGAAACTTATAAATTTTATAATCTGTAATTTGGGGTTTATTATCTCATTTCTACTCTTTAAATCCAAGTGAATTAATTTAAAAAGTAAATTTGGACTAGGAGGAGACATTAGTGAAAAGTCTTAAGTATTAATCAAATTCATCTCAACTACCTTCCAAAATGCACACACATCAGTCACACACACCCTTTTTTAGAAGGAAAAAAATGCTTCAGTTAAAGAGAACAGTTGTAGCCATTTGACTTCAAATGCCTTCTACAAAAGTTTAAAATAGCTATTCTGGAATATGGCTACTATCGTTTAAAGTTTCAAGGTGACATTTTTCTAAATCTTCATATGATAATTTACTTATTCAAAAACGTAACAAATGATTGACTTTATTGGGCAAAATATTGCTCTATCTATTTGTTAAAGTAGATTATCTCACATAGGGTGTCATTGTAACTTACGTTGTCTTTTTTTTGTACAATTGTGTTTACTTGTAGACAATGTACTATTCTCTTGTGCCCCCAACATTCTTGCACTTGAAAGTTGAATGTTGGGAACTCAAGGTTGGAAACAAGATCGAATGCCTTGTGTGGAAGCAAAAGATGTTTTCTTCTGACAGATGCTACTTTGGGTGTCTTTTCAGCTAAACAGATCTCAGCGTTAAATTAGCTTAATCATTTGCCTCTCTGCTTTTTCTAAAGGTCTGTGGTCCAAGTGGCAGTCCTTCCTGCAATGGACTGTAGGTTCTGTTGGGTAGGGGGAATGTCTCCTATTTCTTTGCTTCAAGTTTCATTTTGTGTTTAAAATGCAACAAAATAAGCTTAGAAAATCATTTTTAAGAGAGCACTTTCAAGAAGCACTTCCTTTCCTACTGCCAGACAACGCTGCTCCCCAACCTCTTGGCTGGAACGCTTGCTTTCGATTTGTTTGTTTCACGCATTTCCCTAAAGAGCCGGGCTCTTTGCGCGGTTTTATTTTGCTTTAAAAATGCGTGGCTTCTGCCCTGAATCCTTCTCTGAAGCAAATTCCTATCGAAAGTGTATCAGATTCGTTTCAAATATCAGATTTGGATTAATATTCCCATGCTACAAATATTTTAAAAATTGCTTTTGTCGTAGGAGTCCACACTTTTGCAATATACTTCTAATTGAAGTAGGGTTGCCTGTATTTCTCATGATACACAAACAAAAAAGTAGCAATTACCGTCTGCTTAGACCTTCCTTTATTATTATTTTTAGCCCGTGTATCATTACCTAACTGGTACGTGTTCTTCTGTCCAGCTCTTGATGATCTAGTTGAATTCTAGACATTGTGCCAAGAAGTGTATTTGAAGCAGATAAGTACGTATAATACAAATGCGTTTTGTTAGACCTGATGGATGCTATTTTTCTTGTAATAGGTTTGTAGCAAACTAACACAATAACACAATGTATTCCTTTTCAAGGTACATTGTTGAAACAGGTCTATTAAGAGCGCGTTGAGCTATTTCTCGCTTCTATTGAACAGTCTGTTGCTCAAACACAACAGCCAACAAACGCCAGCTGCCTCAACAAAAGTAGGAACCTAACCCTTTTATGTAATGTTTTAACAGAAAGGGTAGCTCTGTTTAATTAAAAACATTGATGATTCAGTGAAACAATAGAAACTCAAGTTCAAGTGGTGCTCTATTGATTTAAGATGATTTTTTACTAGCAATGGGTATAATTCATTTTTTCTCCCAGCTCTCCCTTGTGTAAAGGGGTTCCTTCGTGGGGCATTATTTGGGTGAATAGGAAAAGACAGAGATGGCGATTGCCTTAGAAACCTGATTAACGCATGTTGCTTTGAGGGTAAGGTGTTTAATTTATAAGTGCACCCCATATTTTTTGTCAGTTTATTCGCGGTGGGGAAGCTTTGAAAGTAGCTCCTCACAGCAGGTTAAAAAGTGAAGTCTGCGTCCTGGCATTTAAATGTCTTTGTTATTGTGTCAAGCAAGTTGTTGAAAACTGCATGCCCGGAATACTAAGGTTGAGCGGCTAGAGAAGGCAAGTTGTGCGTGTGTGTGTGTGTGTGTGTGTGTGTGCAGGCGCGCCCCTGGGTGCAAGGCTGTGTGTCCGAGGACAATTATTTTCATCAGCTGCTTGCTAGCCCGCGCCCGACTGTTCCTCTTTGCAGAACCGACGGCCTCCGGGCTTTCAACTCTGGAAGTGAAGCAGGACGAATTCCTCCATGGAGACTCCCTCCTCGGGAACGTCGAACTCTCTCTGCCCTGGGGGATGGGGCTCGATAAAGGGTACCTAGGTCGCCTCCTGGCAGGGGAGCACTCGAGGGCCGCGAGGTCCCGGGTTTCGCCATCCTGAGACTCCCGCGCGGATGGCCCAGGAGGGGCGCGAGCACTCCGCGCCGGGCAGGAGGGCGGCGGTCCCTGGGTCAAGGTGGGCGGGGGCAGGTGCTTCCCTCCGCCGGCGCCATCCCCACCGCCCGACTTAGCCCGGCGCCCAGCGAGCACGGCGACCGCGCTTCGCACTCCTTCCTCCCACCTCGCCCGTAGGCCCGGCTTCACGATTCCCGGGCACTCGGGCAAGTAAGGGAACGCAGCTGCCTCAACTCGCTCCCGCAAAACCACCGCCAGGAGAGCCTGAAGACCGAGAACCCGGCCTAGGAGGCGCCCCGAGAGCCTCGGCGCGGGCTCCTTCCTCTTCCCCACATCCGCCTGCCGCGGGAGCCCAGGGCCGGTGGGAGAAGGGCAGCCGTCTTTCCCGATCCTTTCCTGCGGCCAAACAAGTCCCCAGGGTGGGCCGAGGACAGAGCGCCTCGGGCATCGTCCGTCTCCCAGGGCTGCGGCCCAGGCCCAGGCTGAGGCTGAGGCCTCTGAGCCACTCGCTTCAAGCATTGACAGGCCGCAACCGCCTCGAGGGCCGCACTTCCGCCTGCTCCCGACGTCCCGCGCACCCAGGGTTCAAAGGGCGCGGCCCGCCTCGACCCACTTCCGGGGTCCAGGCTCCTCAGGTCCGGCCGGCCCCCACCCTGCCCCGGACCCTGGTGGGCCCTGGAAGCCCGGAACCGCTGGGACCGAGGCCTGGAGCCCGTGGCCCGCCGCCCACAGTGGCGATGGCACCAGGGGAGGCCGAGGCCAGAAAGGGACCCGCTAGGGAAACGTCCACACAGCTCCCTTAGGCCCACAGTGAATTATTTAAGCTGTTCCTGGTGTTTAAAGAGGTTTTTCAGTTTTTAAAGAATGTTGTAAAAAAATATCAGCCCTTGTTAACTCCCTCATTACATGCTTTTTTCCCCTCAGCTGAACAAGCCCTATTTCCTGAGTCGCAGGAGCTATGTAAGTGTTTAAACGTGTGTCAAGTGTCTTATAAATAATACAAATTCATAAAGAGGAGGAAATTTAACTGAAGGACTTGGCATGGCCACATTTGCTGAGAGGTTATGGGCCGGGGACAGGTGGTCGGGAAACCGTGCTGACAGCCTCTTGCCTCGTGGCCCCTGAGACTGTCCCCACCCCTGTCTAGGAAAGCCCAGGAAGAGCCTTTGGCCAATTCATGAGAGAAGGTCCAGTGCCTGCAGCTTCTGTACGAGAGCCTCAATACTCAACTCGGTATTTTGGAGTTGCTTTTCTTTATTTTTTATTTTTATTTTTTGAGATGGAGTCTTGCTGTCACCCAGGCTGGAGTGCAGTGGTGTCATCTGGGCTCACTGCAACCTCTGTCTCCCGGATTCAAGCGATTCTCCTGCCTCAGCCTTCTGAGTAGTTGGAACTACAGGCACCCAACTTTTTAGTAGAGATGGGGTTTCAACAGGTTCGCCAAGCTGGTCTCGAACTCCTGACCTCAGGTGATTCACCCACTTCAGCCTCCCAAACTGCTGGGATTACAGGCATGAGCCACCCTGCCCAGCCCTGGAGTTGCTTTTCTGTCTTTTCCTCTCAGCCACCTATACTTTCTCCACTTTTCCTTGCTGGTCTTTCTCTCTCAAAGTGTCTGCTGCTGTGACATTGCTATGGCATCCTCCCTCCTTGTTAGAATGAGGGTTAGTATTGCTTTTGGCAAAAAATAGACAATAAGAGGGTTGAGGTCTGGGCTTTAATTTGAGATCTGGGCCACGAAACCATTTGTATTCATTCTCATACCTAGAGAGCTAAAATAATACTAATAAGGAAGTTTTCTTCTGAGGACGGTAAGTACAAAGTATTATTTAATAGAAAAATAGCATATACTATGTGGAAATTAGATTTCAACTTTAGCGGTACTCCCTGCTTTAGTTCCTTGGATGATATTTTTCATACTGGTTGTCATTATTCGAAAGATTTCTCTGGCTATTCTATTTCTAGCTGTTTTAAAATGTCAAAACTAGAGAGAAACGTAGGAGTTTTCAATTATTAAAATAACCAAATACTTTTATAAAGTCAGAGCTATCTTGACTTTAAAACATCATACTCATAGTGAGTGTAGTTATCTTCAAAGTAGAAACAAAAATTGACTGCACTGTGGATTTGAGGAGCAGGTTACAAATTCTTCCTAAGTAGTATTCCCCCAACTTTTTTTTTTTTTTAATGGAGTCTCACTCTGTTGCCAGGCTGGAGTGCAGTGGCGCAATCTCAGTTCACTGCAGCCTCTGACTCTGTGGTTCAAGTGATTCTCCTGCCTTCCCTCGTGAGTAGCTGAGATTACAGGTGTGAGCCACTATGCCCAGTTAAGTTTTATATTTTTAGTAGAGACGGAGTTTCAGCATGTTGACTAGGATGCTCTCGATCTCCTGACTTCATGATCTACCTGCCTTGGCCTCCCAAAGTGCTGGGATTAGATGCGTGAGCCACTGCACACTGCCCCAACATTCTTAATGTAAGGGTTTGAAGCCTCTCTCAAACTTTCACCAACTGTTAAATTAGGCCTGATTGTTTTGCTGTATGCGTTAGCAATGCTCTTGCCCTATTTTTTAAAACGATACCCCAGCCTTTAGTGAAACTCCATCTGGAGAATTCTAGGATGGAAGAGATGTCTTGGGTATTTTTTTTTTCTTTTTTGAGCCGGAGTCTCCGTCTCTTGCCCAGGCTCGAGTGCAGTGGCGTGATCTCGGGTCACTGTAATCTCTACCTCCTGGGTTCACGCAATTTCCAGACAATTTTTGTATTTTTCATAGAGACAGGGTTTCACCATGTTGCCCAGTCTGGTCTCAAACTCCTGGCCTCAAGCGATCCACTTGCCTCAGCCACCCAAAGTGCTGGAATTATAGACGTGAACCACCGAGCCTGGCCATCTTAGGTATTTTCAGTAACAAGTCTGTTAGACTACCAGACTTAGTAGTATATAATATATTGCATTTTAAATCTCGTTTTGGCCTAGGCACAGTGGCTCATACCTGTAATCCCAGCACTTTGGAAGGCAGAGGCAGGTGAATCTCCTAATGTCAGGAGTTTGAGACCAACTTCACCGACATGGTAAAACCCATCTCTATTAAAAATACAAAATTAGCTGGGCATGGTGGCACATGCCTGTAATCTCAGCTACTTGGGAGGCTGAGGCAGGAGAATCGTTTGAACCTTAGAGGTGGAGGTAGCAATGAACCAAGATGGCGCCATTGCACTCCAGCCTGGTCAATAAGAGTGAAACTCCATCTCAAAAAAAATACGAAAACAAAAAACCCTAAAGCTCATCTTCAACTATTTGCCTTCTTCTGGTGATTTTGCCATGCTGGTGTTTGCATGCACTGTTTTTTTCTTTTTGGAGATGGAATCTCACTCTGTTGCCCAGGTTGGAGTGCAGTGGTGTGATCTTGGCTCACTGCCCTCTGACTCCCAGGCTTAAGCAATTCTCCTGCCTTAGCGTCCCTAATAGCTGGGATTACAGGCTCATATCACAACACCCAGCTAATTTTTGTATTTTAGTAGAGATGAGGTTTTACCATGTTGGCCAGGCTGGTCTTGAACTCCTGACCTCAGGTGATCCACCGGCTTCGGTCTCCCAAAGTGCTGAGATTACAGGTGTAAGCCACTGTTCATGGCCTGCATGCACTGATGATAGGTCTGCTGGGTGTTGCCCCTTTTGTCAGGCATCTCTTCTGTGTGCTTTGTTGCTGCTTTTTCTTTTTTTTTTTTTTTTGAGATGGAGTTTCGCTCTTGTTACCAAGGCTGGAGTGCAATGGCGTGATCTTGGCTCACCGCAACCTCCACCTCCTGGGTTCAGGCAATTCTCCTGCCTCAGCCTCCTGAGTAGCTGGGATTACAGGTACGCGCCACCATGCCCAGCTAAGTTTTTGTATTTTTAGTAGAGACGGGGTTTCACCATGTTGACCAGGATGGTCTCGATCTCTTGACCTCGTGATCCACCCGCCTCGGCCTCCCAAAGTGCTGGGATTACAGGCGTAAGCCACCGTGCCCGGCCTTTGTTGCTGCTTTTTCTGGATATAGCTGGTGTTGACTGAGTGGGTAATAGAGAGACGCCAAAGTTCTGAGGTATTGTTGGTTATCTGTGCTGTAGCATCTCAGTGGGTTCCAAAATGGTTTTCAACGTATTCTGTTACTGGTTTCAATATAAACAGATACTTTCATTTTTATTTACAGCCCTTTCTTTCCTTGTAACCCAGATTTGAATCCAAAGTAGTTACAGAGATAATTTCCCGTATCAGGCACTATGGTACTTTCAAAATTACTCCTCTAAGCACCAAAACTGCTTTAAATCAAGCAATTTGATCTCTTTAAGATATGTTTACACCCAGGAGGCTTTTCAGTCTCTCACATGAATACATTTTAGGTGATTTTCTTCCTATGCTTTCAGAATTGCTGAGATATATATGAACACTAGCAAAGGAAACAACTTAGATTTTATAGTTTGAGAGTAGTTGGGCCTATTTGTCTTCCCAGGACACTCACGAAGACACAGATGTGTATACACATTGATAAATTCCTAAATTGGCAGATGAAAACTTTGCTGAGCTTAACAAATACCTTTTTGATATGTAAACAGTTTCTAAGAATGTCAGCCATCTGCTGAAAGCCAGATAATAATTTGTGAACGGAATTGTCAATGCATACATCACTTATTTATTTGTTCTTAAACATTAGCCATATCTAGGCAGTCTTTGAGATGAGCCTCTGCTGCTAAACTCACATTCAGCATTTTTATCTTACTTCTTTTTTTTTTTTTTTTTTTTTTTGAGACGGAGTTTCGCTCTTGTTACCCAGGCTGAAGTGCAATGGCGCGATCTCGGCTCACCGCAACCTCCGCCTCCTGGGTTCAGGCAATTCTCCTGCCTCAGCCTCCTGAGTAGTTGGGATTACAGGCACGTGCCACCATGCCCAGCTAATTTTTTGTATTTTTGGTAGAGACGGGGTTTCACCATGTTGACCAGGATGGTCTCGATCTGTTGACCTCGTGATCCACCCGCCTCGGCCTCCCAAAGTGCTGGGATTACAGGCTTGAGCCACCATGCCCGGCTTATCTTACTTCTTTATGTACCACTCCCCAGTCCATGAAAGAACATGGTGCCTCTTTATAGGAAAAGATGTATAATGCTTCGTATAGTGTCAGGTAGCTTGTTCTCTGCTGGTGGGGTTAAGGCAAGTATGGAAAACAACTAAATAATACAAGGTAAATAATGTTAAAGGATGGAAAGTGGATAATACAAACTATAGTAAATGCCTTAAAGAAATATCAGGCCAGGAACAGTAGCTCATAGTTGTAATCTCAACACTTTAAGAGACTGAAGTAGGAGGATTGCTTAAGCCCAGGAGTTTGAGACCAGTCTGGGCAATGTGATGAGACCTCATCTCTACAAAAAATCAAAACTTAGCTAGGCATGGTGAAGTGGCATGCACCTGTAGTCCCAGCTACTCAGAGGTGCTTAAGCCCAGGAAGTCATGGCTGCAGTGAGCTGTGATCATGCCATTGCACTCAAGCCTAGGTGACGAGTGAGAGTGAGACTTTATCTCCAAAGAGAGAGAAAGAAGAAATGTCAATAAATTGTTATTGGATAATCAAAGGCAGACAAGATAACCTCAGAAACTACAGCAATATTATCATACAAAGAAGCAACATTTAGGCTGGCAGCATAGTTCTCAACATTACCAAGACAGGTCTGAAGACAAAGCCCTTTTGAAAGGGCTAAGAAAAGTATGTATGTAACTGAGATACCATAGCCAGCTAAACTATTATTCAAAAATGACAGCTAAACAAAAACCAGATTTCAGAAAGTGGGAATTCACCACTTACAGAATTTTGATAATTATTACAGATTTTACAGTGGTAAATTCTCACTTTTACAGATTTCAAAAGTAGGACTTCACCATTTAATAATTATTACAGGAGGCATAGGATGTATAGGAGGAAAATGTCTATTAAACCCAGAAGGAAAGAGTGGACTACAAGAAGGAATGGTATGCAAAGAAGTTGATCAGCTGGGTGCGGTGGCTCACACCTGTAATCCCAGCATTTTGGGAGGCTGAGGCGGGAGGATCACCTGAGGTTGGGAGTTCAAGACCAGCCTGACCAACATGGAGAAACCCTGTCTCTACTCAAAAATACAAAATTAGCTGGGTGTGGTGGTCATGCCTGTAATACCAGCTTCTCGGGAGGCTGAGGCAAGAGAATCACTTGAATCCGGGAGGCAGAGGTTGCGGTAAGCCAAGAATGCGCCATTACACTCCATCCTAGGCAACAAGAGCACAATTTCATCTCAAAAAAAAAAAGAAGAAGTTGATCTCTGTTGATCACCAACTTATGGAATATTGAAATAATTATTGCATATATAAAATAATGACTAATTTGATATATTTAAAACATGTTAGAAATACAACTTACCAAAATAGAGAAGATGATATAGAAAGTCAGTGTGATGAAGAAAATGTATATATATTTGGCTGGGCATGGTGGCTCATTCTTTTTGGGAGGCTGAAGCAGGCAGATTGCCTTAGCTCAGGAGTTCGAGACCAGCCTGGGCAACATGGTGAAACCCCGTCTCTACTAAAATACAAAAAATTAGCCGGGCATGATGGTGAGCACCTGTAGTCCCAGCTATTCTGGAGGCTGAGGCAGGAGAATTGCTTCAACCTCGGAGGCAGAAGTTGCCTTGAGCCAAGATCATGACAGTGTACTCCAGCCTGGGCAGCAGAGCAAGACTCTGTCTCCAAAAACAGAAAAAAAAAAAAAAAAGAAAATGTATATATATGTATATGTATATCATATCTTATAATTAATATAAAATGAATGCAACCTACCAAAACTCATCATTATCTCAGTTTTGGTATATATATAAAATTTTCTGTTATATTTTCTAGATCATCTCTCAGTTTTGGTTTTATTCATTTTGTATAATACATATATATGCAATTATTAAAAAGTTATTTATTTATTTAATTTTGAGATGGAGTTTTGCTCTTGTTACCCAGGCTGGAGTGCAATGGCGTGATCTTGGCTCACCGCAACCTCCGCCTCCTGGGTTCAGGCAATTCTCCTGCCTCAGCCTCCTGAGTAGCTGGGATTACAGGCACGCGCCACCAAGCCCAGCTAATTTTTTGTATTTTTAGTAGAGATGGGGTTTCACCATGTTGACCAGGATGGTCTCGATCTCTTAATCTCATGATCCACCCGCCTTGGCCTCCCAAAGTGCTGGGATTATAGGCATGAGCCACCAGGCCCAGCCTTAAAAAGTTATTAAACAATCACTCCTCTTTTGGCCAAGTCAAAATAACTGGTAATAGAGTATAAACCACATACAACTAGACAAAATACATGAAACAACTATTTTCAAATCTTGGACAACAGGCAGTACAGGACTATATCTATTGGAGAAGGAAAATGCACTAGTTGATCCTCATAATTTGCCCAACTTTCTGTATGGAGGCACTTTCCGATCCATGGTGCAGGGAGGTGGAACCCTTGTAGAATATTGTGGTCTTCATGAGTTGAAGATATGGAGATTGGATTTTTGGGCCGTTGAGTTCTATAATTGCTAGATCAGGGTACCAGAGAGGGAGCTTCACAGAGCAGTAGCACAAAAGTCTACATAAGGACCACTTAAGTCTTTGGCAAAACATAAGCTGTTATCCATAGGGAGAAACTGCAATACCTGGCAGAAAGTAGCTATAGTGTAGCTGAATGCAGACTCTAGAAATCATACTGCATTAGAAGGGATGTTGGACTTTCAGTCAGCCACAAGAGAGACCTCACTAAACATCAGTTAACAACATAGGAGTATATCTACTCTCACCCTAAAGTGTCTACTAGACCCATGCAAACAAAATTTTAAAACAATTGAGATGATGTGTCATTTTATTTTACTTTTTATTTTTATTTTTGAGATGGAGTCTTGCTCTGTCATCCAGGCTGGAGTGCAGTGGCACAATCTGGGCTCACTGCAACCTCCGCCACCTGGGTTCAATCAGTTCCCCTGCCTCAGCCTCCTGAGTAGCTGGGACTACAGGTGTGCATCACCACACCCGGCTAATTTTTTATAATTTCTAGTAGAGATGGGGTTTTGCCATTTTGGCCAAGATGGTCTTAATCTCCTGATCTTGTGATCCACCCGCCTCAGCCTCCCAAAGTGCTGGGATTACAGGCTTGAGCCATTGCACCCGGCCTATTTTATTTGTTGTTGAGACAGAGTTTCTCTCTTATTGCCCAGACTGGAGTGCAAGGGTGTGGTCTCAGCTTACTGAAACCTCCACCTCCTGGGTTCAGGGGATTCTCCTGCTCAGCCTCCCATGTAGTTGGGATTACAGGCACCCACCACCATGCACAGCTAACTTTTGTATTTTTAATAGTGACGGGGGTTCACCATGTTGGCCAGTCTGGTCGTGAACTCCTGACCTCAAGTGATCTGTCCACCTTGGACTCTCAAAGTGCTGGGATTACAGGTATGAGCCACCCAACTGATAGGTCATTTTAAAAAATATCTGGCCAGGCACTGTGGCTCACCCCTGTAATCCCAGCACTTTGGAAGGTCAAGGTGGGCAGATCATGAGGTCAGGAGTTCGAAGCCAGCCTGGCCAACATAGTGAAACCCCATGTCTACTAAAAATACAAAAATTAGCCAGGTGTGGTGGCGGGCACCTGTAATCCCAGCTACTTGGGAGCTGAGGCAGGAGAGTTGTTTGAACCCAGGAGGCAGAGGTTGCAGTGATCCAATATTATGCCACTACACTCCAGTGTGGGTGACAGAGCAATACTCTGGGGGATGAGGGGAAAGTTATATAAGGCTTGGTGTGGTGACTCATGCCTATAAGGCCAGCATTTTAAGATGCTGAGGTAGGAGGATTGCTTGAGACCAGGAGTTCGAGAGCAGGCTGGGCAACATAGCAATACCCCATCTCTACAAAAAAAAAAAAAAAAAAAAAAAAAAAAAAATCTGGGTTGGGTGATGGCACATGCCTATAGTCCCTCCTACTTCAGAGGCTGAGATGGAAGGATCTCTTGAGCCTGGGAGGTTGAGGCTGCAGTGAGCTGTGATTACACCACTGCATTCCAGAGCCTGGGTGACAGAGTGAGACTCTGTCTAAAAAAAAAATTTACCCGCCAGAACAAAACTCTTTGAAGAAAGGTAAAATCCAGACCCAAAGTAATATTCACAATATTTAACATAAACGTTAAAGATTATTAGAAAAAAACAGGCGCAGTGGCTCATGCCCGTAATCCCAGTACTTTGGGAAGCCAAGGCAGGCGAATCACTTGAGGTCAAGGTCAGGAGTTCAAGACCAGCCTGATCAATATGGTGAAACCCGTTTTTACCAAAAATACAAATTCAGCCGGGCATAGTGGCATGAACCCGTAGTCTCAGCTACTCAGGAGCTCTGAGGCAGGAGAATCACTTGAACCCTGGAGGCAGAGGTTGCAGTGAACTGAGACTGTGCCTCTGCACTCATTCCTGGGTGACAGAGTGAGACTCTGTCTCAAAAAAAAAAAAAAAGTAAAGAAAGGCAAAGAAGCAGGTAATCAATACGTGTAACTAAGAAGAGAAACAGTCAGTAAAGACAGACAAAAACTGAGAGTCCACAGAAGTATGAGAATAAGCAGACAAGGACTTAATGTGAATATTTTACATGTTTAAGAATTAAAGGAGGCCAGGCGCAGTGGCTCATGCCTGTAACTCCAGCCCTTTGGGAGGCTGAGGCAGGTGAATCACTTGAGGTCAGGAGTTCTAGCCCAGCCTGGCCAACATACTGAAACCCCAACTCTACTAAAAAAAACCAAAAAACAAAAATAAGCTGGGCATGATGGAAGGCACCTGTAATCTCAGCTACTTGGAAGGCTGAGGCAAAATTGCTTGAACCTGGTTGGCAGAGGTTGCAGTGAGCCAAGATCACACAACTGCACTCCAGCCTGGGTGACAGAGTGAGACTGTCTCAAAAAAAAAAAAGAAAAGAAAAGAAAAGAAAGAAAAGAAGGACTTAGTGAATGAACAGATAGGAAATATTAGGAGAAAAATGGAAACTAGTGCTCACTTCAGCAGCACATATGCTAAAGTTGGAACCATACAGAGATTAGCATGGCTTCTGCACAAGGATGACATGCAAATGCAAATTTGTGAAGCTTTCCAATTTTTTTTTTTTTTTTTTTTGAGATGGAGTTTTGCTCTTGTTACCTAAGCTGGAGTGCAATAGCATGATCTTATTCACTGAAATCTCTGACTCCTGGGTTCAAGCAATTCTCCTGCCTCAGCCTCCTGAGTGGCTGGGACTACAGGCACGCACCACCATGCCCAGCTAATTTTTGTATTTTTAGTAGAGATGGGGTTTCACCGTGTTGACCAGGATGGTCTCCATCTCTTAACCTCGTGATCCACCCGCCTCGGCCTCCCAAAGTGCTGGGATTATGGGCATGAGCCACCGCGCCTGGTGGTGTTCCATATTTTTTGACAGACTTGAGAGCCAAATCAAGAACGAACTGCCATTCACAACCGCTACAAAAAGAACAAAATACCTAGGAATAAAACTAACAAAGCATGTAAAGGACCTCTTCAAGGAGAACTACAAACCACTGCTCAATGAAATAAGAGAGGACACAAACAGATGGAGAAATATTCCATGCTCATGGTTAGGAAGAATCAGTATCGTGAAAATGGCCATACTGCCCAAGGTAATTTACAAATTCAATGCTATCCCCATCAAGCTACCAATGACCTTCTTCACAGAACTGGAAAAAACCACCTTAAACTTCATTTGGAACCAAAAGAAAGCCCGCATAGCCAAGTCAATTCTAAGCAAAAAGAACAAAGCTGGAGGCATCACACTACCTGACTTCAAACTATACTACAAGGCTACAGTAATCAAAACAGCATGGTACTGGTACCAAAACAGAGATATAGACCAATGGAACAGAACAGAGGCCTCGGAGGCAACGCCACATGTCTACAACCATCTGATCTTTGACAAACTTGACCAAAGCAAGCAATGGGGAAAGAATTCCCTGTTTAATAAATGGTGTTGGGAAAACTGGCTAGCCATGTGCAGAAAGCAGAGACTGGACCACTTCTTGACACCTTACACTAAAATTAACTCCAGATTGATTAAAGACTTAAACATAAGACCTAACACCATAAAAACCCTAGAAGAAAAGCTAGGCAAAACCATTCAGGACATAGGCATGGGCAAGGACTTCATGACTGAAACATCAAAAGCATTGGCAACAAAAGCCAAAATAGACAAATGGGACCTAATCAAACTCCAGAGCTTCTGCACAGCAAAAGAAACCGTCATTAGAGTGAATTGGAAACCAACAGAATAGGAAAAAATTTTGCGATCTACCCATCTGACAAAGGGCTAATATCCAGAATCTACACAGAACTAAAACAGATTTACAAGAAAAAAACAAACAAGCCCATTCAAAAGTGGGCAAAGGATATGAACAGACACTTTGCAAAAGAAGACATATATGAGGCCAACAAACATATGAAAAAATGCTCATCATCACTGGTCGTTAGAGAAATGCAAATCAAAACTACATTGAGATACCATCTCATGACAGTTAGAATGGCGATCATTAAAAAATCTGGAGACAACAGATGCTGGAGAGGATGTGGAGAAATAGCAACACTTTTACACTGTTGGTGGGAGTGTAAATTAGTTCAACCATTGGGGAAGACAGTATGGTGATTCCTCAAGGACCTATAAATAGAAATTCCATTTGACCCAGCAATCCCATTACTGGATATATATTGAAAGGATTATAAATCATTCTGTTATAAGGACACATGCACACAAATGTTCATTGCAGCAGTGTTTAATAGCAAAGACCTGGAACCAACGCATATGTCCATCGATGGTAGACTGGATAGGGAAAATGTGGCAGATATACACCATGGAATACTATGCAGCCATAAAAAAAGATGAGTTTGTGTCCTTTGTAGGGACATGGATGAACCTGGAAACTATCATTCTCAGCAAACTGACACAAGAACAGAAAATCAAACACCACATGTTCTCACTCATAGGCGGGTGTTGAGCAATGAGAACACATGGACACAGGTAGGGGAGCATCACACACTGGGGTCTGTAGGGGGGAAATAGGGGAGGGACGGTGGGGGGTGGGGAGTTGGGGAGGGATAACATGCGGAGAAATGCCAGATATAGGTGATGGGGAGGAAGGCAGCAAATCACACTGCCATGTGTGTACCTACGCAACAATCTTACATGTTCTTCACATGTACCCCAAAACCTAAAATGCAATTTTAAAAAACTATTTGGGGTGTACAATATGATACTTTGATATACATATACATTGTGAAGTGATTAGTATAAATTTATTTATTTATTTATTTATTTTGAGACGGAGTTTCGCTCTTGTTACCCAGGCTGGAGTGCAATGGTGCGATCTCGGCTCACCGTAACCTCCACCTTCTGGGTTCAAGCAATTCTCCTGCCTCAGCCTCCCAAGTAGCTGGGACTACAGGCACGCACCACCATGCCCAGCTAATTTTTGTATTTTTAGTAGAGACAGGGGTTTCACCTTGTTGACCAGGATGGTCTCGATCTCTTGACCTCGTGATCCACCCGCCTCGGCCTCTCAGAGTGCTGGGATTATAGGCATGAGCCACCACACCCGGCGATTAGTATAAATTTAATTCATCTATCATCTCATATGGTAAATTTTGTGGAGGGAATGTTTAAGACCTAATTTCTTAGCAATCTGAAGTAAACATTGTTATTAACTGTAGTTACCATGTTGTACATTAAATCTCTAGAACTTAAAAAAAAAAAGAAAACTATTTCAAAAGAACCAGATAGAAATTCAAGAACTGAAAGGTATGATATCTGAAGGGAAAATTATACAGGATGGGCTTGACAGTGGATTTGATGTGGCAGAGGTAGAATAAGTGAACTTGAACACAAGGCAAAAAAAGCTATCCAAACTGAAATACAGACAGCAAAGGGCTAGAGGGAAAATGAATGGAGGATCAGCAACCTGTTGGACAAGATTTGTCAAACGGGAATCCCATGAGTATAGGACGGAATAAGGAAAAAAAGTTTGAAGCAATAGTGGCTGAAAAATCTGACATATTGGAGGAAAATTGTAAACCTATAGATTCAAGAAGTCCAGCAAACCCCAAGTGAGATAAACAAATGAAAACACAACTAGGGGTCCAGGCACAGTGACTCATACCTGTAATCCTAGCACTTTGGGAGGCTGAGGTGGGCCGATTGCTTGACGCTGAGAGTTCAAGACCAGCCTGGGCAACATGGTGAAACCCTCTCTCTACCAAAACTACAAAAAAATTAGCTGGGTATGGTGGCACATGCCTGTAATCCCAGCTACTCAGGAGGCTGAGGTGGGAGGACCACTTGAGCCCAGGAGGTTGAGGCTGTAATGAGCTGTGGGGTCATGCAGCTGCACTCCAGCCTGGGTAACAGAGTAAAACCCTGTCTCAAAAAAAAAAAAAAAAAAAAAGGAAGAAGAAGAATAAAAAAAACACAACTAGGTATATTATAGAGTTGAATTTTTAAAAGAGAAAGAGAAATAAAAGACAGCTAACTAAATTTAGGAAACATAAAGAAGAATGACTTCTCATCATAAACAACATAAGCCAAGGGAACAACATCTTTAAAGTGCAGAAAGAACATATCAACCTATATCCAATGAAAATATCCTTCTAAAATGAAGGGGAAACAATGCTATTTTCAGATAGCTTAGAAAATTAGTCACTAGCAGATCTGCACTATGAAAAATGTTAAAGGAAGGCTGAAAGAAAAAGATACCAGGTAGAAAAATCATGTCTACAAGAAGGAATGAAGAACTCTTGAGCATATGTGGGTAAATAGAAGAGACTTTTTTCATTTCCCTTTAAAACATAATCGACAATTTAAAGTAAAAACAAAATAAAATGGTAATTTATTGTGGGGCTTAAATTATGTAGAAGTAAAATGTAATGGCCGTAATAGCACAATACATGGGAAGGGAAAAATCATTTAAGTTTCCTTTGTTATATACAAAATGCTCCAATATGCATTCATAGTAGAGTGTGTAATAAGTTAAGAATGCATATTGTAACCCCTAGAGCAACGAATGAAAAACAAAGAGGTATAATAAAAAGCCAATAGAAGACACAAAGTGGAAAACAAAAATAATTCAAAATAATCCAGGGAAAGAGGGAAAAAGGAACAACAACAAAAAACATCTCGCACTATCTAGTACTAATAGAAAACGAAGGGTAAGATGGTGGCCTGAAACCCAACAATTTTTGAGACAGTTTTACTCTGTCGCATAGGCTAGAACAATGGTCCCCAAACTTTTTGTCACAAGGGATCTGTTTTGTGTAAGACAGTTTTTCCATGGATGGGGCAGAAGGGTTGATTCAAGCACATTACATTTATTGTGCACTTGATTTCTATTATCATTACATTGTAATATATAACAAAATAGTTATACAACTCACCATAACGTAGAATCAGAGGGAGCCCTGAGCTGATTTTCCTGCAATTAGATGGTCGCATTTGGGGGTGATGGGAGACAGTGACAGATCACCAGGCATTAGGTTCTCATAAGGAGCAGGCAACTTAGATCCCTCACATCCCCAAGTAGCTGGGACTATAGGTGTGTGCCACTACACCTGGCTAATTTGTGTGTTAGAAAAATAATACATACCAGTAAACACAAATCATGAGGGGTGGAGTGGCTTTAAATATCAGAATAGTACACTTTAAACAAATAATATCATCAGAGGCCGGACACGGGGGCTTACGCCTGTAATCCCAGCATTTTGGGAGGCCGAGACAGGTGGACCAGCCTGACCAACATGGTGAAACCCCCATATCTACTAAAAATACAAAATTAGCTGTATGTGTTGGCACATGCCTGTAATCCCAGCTATTCAGGAGCCTAAGGCAGAAGAATTGCTTGAACCCGGGAGGTAGAAGTTGCAGTGAGCTGAGATTGCGCCATTGCACTTCAGCCTGGGCAAAAAGAGTGAAACTCTGCCTCAAAAAAAAAGAAAATAAAAAAGAAAAAAAGAATATTATCCACAAAAAGGGACATTTCATAATGTTGATAAAAGACAGTCTTGTGCAGCCCGTTGACCCTTGAACAACTGAGTAAGAGTGTGGCTTGGGCC